AGGCCTATGAAGCGGTATATAAGTCTACTGCTACTGCTATTGCTATTGCTATGACCAGTGCTCCCCCCATTTTTCGCCTGTTTTTTTTGCCCTCCTCAGGCTCCAGAGGCTTTATAGGAGCCTGGGGAGGGCGAAAACAGCCTCCCCTGTCCCCCTGGAGGCCCTGAAGCCTCCGGAGTGCAAAAAATCGGTCCTACGGGCAAACCGGAAGTTCGGGAACTGACTTCTGCTTTGTTTGTGGGGCTGTTTTTAGCCCTCTGGAGGCTTCAGGTGCCTTCCGGGGACTTCCCTGAAGGCTCTGGAGGGCAAAAAGCAACCTTACGAGCAAACTGGAAGTCACTTCTGGTTTGTCTGTAGGGCCATTTTTAGTCCTCCTGAATCTTCAGGGACCTTCAGGAGGCTTCCCTGAAGGCTCTGGAGGATGAAAAACAGCCCTATGGACAAACCAGAATTGACTTCCGGTTTGCTCATAGGGTGGTTTTTTGCCCTCCAGAGCCTTCAGGGAAGCCCCCGGAAGCCCCCTGAAGGCCCTGGAGGGCTAAAAATGGCCCCACGAGCAAACTGGACTTCCGGTTCGCCCATAGGGTCAGGTTTTTTGCGCTCCAGAGGCTTCAGAGAAGTTCCTGAAGCGTCCGGGGGGGGCGGGGGACTGTTTTCTCCCTCCCCAGGCTCCTATAAAGGCTCTGGAGCCTGGGGAGGGTGAAAAATGGCCTCAAAAGAAGGCTGAAGTCAGCTGGCCAGCACGCACATGCATGCTGGCCAGCTGACAGGGCAACGCCTCGCGTGTGCTAACAAATGGCTCCACGTGCCCCTGTGGCACGTGTGCCATAGGTTTGCCATTCCGGGTATAAAGAATAATCCCTATGCAAGTACTTAGGGGGGGAAACATTTTGTTCAATGTTTGCTCATCATATAGTCTTGCTTCATGCCTTTTTAAAATAAAGTGATGGTAGTTCAATGTTCTTTTCTAATGTGTGTTTCCTTTCCGAGCTAGTTAATGTCATCTATGTATAAAATAGTATGTTCGTAAAGGAATATGTTTGTGGATTCAGATAGTATTGATTTCTGAAGAATATATCTTCCTAAAAATATACATATACTTAAGTGGTTAAAAATATTAAATGGAATAAGGACTATATTAATGAAGGTATGAATGAATGTACATGAATGAATGTATATAAATTGAATAAAAAGATCAGTTCTCCCATCTATACCTATTCAATCATGTAAATGTACATGGGGTGAGCCATAATAATAGTACAAATTTAGCAGAACAGCATATCCTTTAGCAGGGGTGTCCAACCTTGAGAACTTAAGACCTGTGGACTTCAATTCCCAGAATTCTCCAGCCAGAATTCTGATGAATGATTAGACTGTTTTGTTGGGCACAAAGTTAGGAAACGTAACAGTATGCTCATGGGTTTTTATGGTAATAAAGTGAGGGAGGGGCTGTGAAATGGTTCTCATGATAAAATCTCAGCTGGATATTCAGAAGAGTTGTACTGTGGTTCGTGCTTAAATATTTGACAGAGCAGAGTATATTCCTGTAAACGGGCTAAATGGAAAGCATTTTTATGAGAGAGTAAATGAACATATGGAAGGAATTGTGAAAACCTTCTAATATGTAAACAGTGCTATAGCTGTAGATCATAAAGTAAATAACTGATTTTTTTAAGCACCCGGTCACCAGATGGTGAAGAAATGTTTTAATTTGAAGACAATGAAAGCAAAATGTATGCCATGAATGTTGCAAAAAATAGCTGGGGTAAACTTTCATTCTGCACTTTTGGTCGTAGCTTCTCATAAAATTTAGAATTCAGTAGCTTTCAGAACCAAGTATCTATCCAGTATTTGAGTGGAACGCCTCATCTCTTTACTGTCTTCTTTTCTCTATTGCTAACCCTCATCTGCCTTGGAAAAATTAAATTAGTGTATTATCTTTGAACAGAATCTTGTAGGAGAAGAAGAAAGCGAGAAACAGCCAAGTTGAATGCTGGAAGACTTGGCCGGCCGAACTTTTCTCTTAGTTCTGTGGGCTTGGCTTGGTGGGCGTGGCTTGGTAGGTTGCCATGAGTGATGTAAAATTGGCCACACTCTCTCAGTCACATGACACCCTACCCCCACCCAGCCACCCCCACAGAACTGGTAGGGAAAAAAATAGAATTTCACCACTGATGTTATATCTTGTTTCAAATTGTTCTAAGTATGTTGTTGATACACTTGGGCTGCTGAACACCTGCTTTATTTGGTCTCAAGGCAGGTTGTGAAATATAGTGGAGAAGGAACATTTTTATTTTCTTTTACAAATACTGAAACCCCCAAATCTAAGTTACTTACAAATAATATATTTTAAATAATTAACAAACTTTTCAACATTTATTCAGCACATAAAGGAACAGGATAATACATGTAGCTCAGTGGGAAATTATTTTTCTCCCAACTACACATGATTAAACACTTACGGCTAGTATTGTATTTCCAACCTGTTTGTATTATCTTCTTCAAAAAGAAAGAAAGAGAAGGAGCTAATACATGTTGCTGGGAATCAAGTGCTTCAGAATTGTGTCTGTAAAATTT